AGAACTCGTAGATGTGGTGACGAACTGTTCTTTGTGCAGCTGTTCAATGTTGCGATGAAGATCAGTGATGAAGAATCCCATTCGAACAAGAATATCACCATCCATGATTCGTAGTGCATAGTTGAGCATGGAATGTAACGAAGTACCTCTTGTATACCACCAGATGGGCTTCTTTACATGGTAATCACTTACTAATTGCTTAACATTACTGGAATGTTTATCATCGAGAGTGATTAGTCCAGGATGATGCTTGATAAACTCTTCGATGTGTTTGTCTTGGAATCCAATCGTTAACAATATCTCGTTGAAGAGTTGTGTGTACATGAAAGATGGATTGAGCTGATCCCGTCTTTTACCAGATGGCACAAAACTGATTGGTGTGGTATTGGGCTCTTCTTGACGTAACGTAATCTGAATGGCTTGGCAGAGTGATGTTAGATCAATGAAAAGATCTTTGATCTTGTTCCAGTGTTTAGCCCATTGTTCATGATATGATTTGTTTTGACAAAAGATGAAAATGGAATGTAGTTGAGGAATGTCGTGGATACAACGCACAAGATATTGTCCGAGTGCACCAGAAAGGATTAGATATACTTGATGGTGATTGTTGCTGATTATAAACTCGACGCATTCATCATTATCCGTGAATGTGATGACATTGTCAACAACGCGTTGGAGTTGTGTAAGTGTTAACTGACAATCAGGATTGTTATGGTCGATATGATTGTCGAGCCAAATGACAACGACGTCTTGCATCTTTTTAATACCGATCGATCGATCGATCACCGATTGTCTACTGCGTGAAAAATTCTGGGTATTGCTCTCCTAGTAGTTATTTGTTGACTTAGCTCGCTGTGTTTTGACGGTGTGTTGGTTAGAGCGCAATAAAAATAGGCAACTTAGTTGGTGATTTTTTGTGTTCTTTCTTCTCTCGAGAGAAGCCCGTATACATATACATATACGTATAGCTACTGAAGAACGCGAAAAACATGCGTCGAGAATACGTTTACCACGATGCAAACATTGAAGACGTGAATAGGAAGTGTTTGACAAAAGGTATCATAGGAAAGTTCAGCATTGAATCAAAGAATAAAATACTCAGCAATCTCGACTTGAAGTTCAAGTGTTCTGTGTTTTTAAACAGTAGATTAGACGATAGATTAGTTTCGATTATATTCTCTAATGCAATGCTTCGTTGAATGCACTGAAGAATAGTATCGTGTTTTAATTGAGTCTCGTGTTTCATTTAATAAACTTATTTTAATTGCGTGATGTTTTTTGTATAAATTGTTGAGAGCTATTTATAGATGATAAATGAACATCATAATGATTACCCATAAACTATACACTTTATTCCTATCTAACTATTTTCCACCCCTATCAAATCGGTTAGTCAAATTTTGAATTATTAACGGATGTGATGATTCTATTCATTGGGCACTCATTCTCTAGTAAATACTCACAGTGAGGTACAAATAGACACGCGTACATTTCGTGCGAAACGTACGCGTACTGACCCCAGTTCGCAAAGAAAGAAAAAAAAGAGAAAACGAAAACGGTATGATTACTCGTATATAAATATGCGTTCTTTTTCTTGTTACTCAAGGCCAGTCTCTTTCAAATAAAACTGGTAGAGCAAACCGCCATTTTGTTTTCAGTAAATTTCAAGTATATTTCTCTCTTTAGTTCATCGATTCATTTAAATTCAATTGAAAAAAGAAATAATGGCAGAAAACAATGATAATATTATTCGTTCTCCAATGGAACTCAATGGTTTATCGAAATACTTCTCATTGATACGTCATCGAGTAGTTGAATATGCCATATGGACATTTTGTGAATTAGGCATTGCTGATCTTATGAATAATCATAAAATGCCAATAACAGCATTAGAACTAAGTCAATTACATGACAACAATTGGAATGCTGAATATCTCTATCGATTATTACGTGTCATTGCTGATTCTGGTATTATAACTCAAACAAATACGGATGAAAAACATTTAAGCCAACCAGAGCAAACAATTCGATTTGAATTGTAACTAAAGATGGATTATTATTAACAAGTAATCATTTCTCAAAAACTCCTGATATCCTTCGATTGTTTATAAATCCAATTACCGACAAAATTTATTCATATCTTCCATCGATGATTAAATTTGGTAATACGAACGGAAATTGTTTCGAACAAGCATTCGGATGCAGTGCGTTCGAATATATGAAAAAAGAAGAAAATAAAGAATATGCACATATTTTCAATAATGGAATGCTTACTTACACATATTATACGGCAGAGTCAATAGTTTCAACTGTTGATTTTAGTCGTTTTAATACATTAGTTGATATTGGAGGTGGATTGGGAACATTATTGGTCTCAATTATGGAAAAATATCAAAATTTACATGGTATTTTATTTGATTTAGATCATGTTATTCAAAATGCTAAATCAATCAATCCAAATGAGTTTCAACGAAGACAAATCGAAACAAATCGTTATGAATATGTTAGTGGTGATATGTTTAAATCAGAAACTATACCATTAGGTGATGCTTACATATTAAAATCCCTTATACATGATTGGAATGATGAAAAATCGATTGAAATTTTCAAATCCATACACAACGCAAATAAAACACAAATGAAAAAACAAATAACAGTATTTATAATTGAATCGATAATTACATCGGAAAATAAAGACAATTGGGAAGCACATATATTAGATATTCACATGTTGGCAAATTTAGGAGCCAAAGAGAGAAATCTATGGGAATATAACAATCTTTTGAATAGAAGTGGTTATGAATTCAAACATTTATACAAGACGGATGGTCCTGTCTCTATTATTGAAGCCACAATAACAACGAATCAAGAATAAAATCAACTAAAGGTGAAGCTTCAAAGATAAACGCTAGAGTTACGATTATATAATATTCTTCTAAACTAAAATAAATATTTACGACATAATTCATCATAATTCTTATTATAGGTACATAAGGATGCGTAGCTGCATTTGTTCTTCGTTATCGAACTAAACAGGGTTTTTAATACGCGTAATGTTTACAAACAAAAGAATGTAAATTAGTGATGAGAACTGATCACAAATACATCCTCTCGAGAGACTTTTAAGTAGAAATTTGTGAAAATAGTAAGTCTTTTTAGATTGAACAACATCAACGAAGAGTTTAAACCAGGCTTTCTTACACTATTTTCTTGTAATACAAGAATAATTGCTAATAATACATACAATGGTCTATTCAGTTTCACTCTGAGCTACGAAAGTGTTAATTAAAACTGAAATGAGAAAACTGGACGACTTAAAAATCATTCATTCTCATTGTTAATCATTAGCTGTCTACTATGAGTTCGAATATGAATTCGAAGTATGTCCTGCTAAAGCGATGTCTTTGTTAAAAATTGATTTTATATTAAGGTTAATTTTTCGAAATCTCTATTAATATTCGAACTCGAATAAGAATAATTTTGTTTATTGTGCTCATACATGTGTCGTATTCATTGCATCAGTAATATTGAGAGTTAATGAGAGGCAGCCTCAGAAAAGAAAGATTTTGTGTATGTTTATATGAATTATTAAGAAAATACACGTTGTTTATATTAAATTCTCTTTCAAATACTTGAATTTCTATTATTGTATAAGAGTGTTTACGCATCGTATTTGTAACGTCTTTGGATTAAGAATTCGAGTACGATTGCAACATCAAAGAAGCGAGACAGGTTTATTTCATCATTAGCTGAAATCAGAATTTTACGAATTGTTCAACAAAATATAACCATAGCTCATTGATACCGATTAAGAGGAGTTTCAAATAAGTTTTTCAATTGAATTTCAATTATTAACACTATTTCCAACGCGTAAAACAAGAAAAGTTTTCTTAAGATGAACTTTAGTGTATAAATATGAGTCCATGCAAATCAATAAGTATCAACTTGATTCTTTATGTTCAGTTGTTAGCCAAATAGCCGAGAAAAGAACAACAAGTGATAATAGGTGACGGTACAGCAGTTATCGTTAGAATAAAGTGATTCTATTACTGAGAATACTCTCATTTATAGCAGATGTAACATTTTTTTCTATATTTGAAGATTCGAAACTTTATTTCATATTTTCATTCGTTTGTTTGTCCAACGTAGATAAAAGTAAGTAGAGTGAACCAAGAAAAAGGCTAGTAAAATGTATATGTTGCATGTAGTATGATGGTCTAATATTTTAAAAATAACCTTTTTGCAAAACTTTTCTGACGTGTATTAAAGACTTCTAAACAGATACTAGTCGATTCGCTTATTTTTCTTTTCTCTGTTTTCTTCGCAAACTCCAAAAAGTTCTTTCTTTTCACATAGTTATATTGGACATCGATTATTTTATTGAAACATATTGTTTCCATATTTTCTTGATCGATCGACATTTTTGTACATTATATTAATTTACTGGCTAGGGAACATATTTGATTGTACATATCGAGATCGATTTTAGAAGTGTTTTGTGTTGCAGTAACTATGTTGAATATCGAGACGCTAGTTCTCTGCGTGAAGGTTGAAAAAATAACATTATTTAGCATTTTGACCGTACGGTGGATTCTGTTGTCAGGTTTCTTTCGTTCGGTGCTCGAAGAGTAAGGAAAAAACATGAGCTCGCAGTAATAAACGCTGCATAGATTAGAAACTTTTTCATTATGTTATACCTGATTTGCTGAAAAACTACATTATTTTGGGTTTTCAGAAAAATGTACTAATGAAGCGTGACAGCATGCAACAGAATCCGTTGCACGGTAAAATTTCTAAACACTGCTATTTTTCTGCCTTCACGATGGTAGCTAAAGCCTCGGTAGTCAAGTTATTCAACTTATGGTCACTGGATGATAGAACGCTTTTAAACTCGATCTCAGCGGACGCGTTCAAATGTCTCTTTATGGATAGGACAGCCTTTAAGACCACTATGACTACGTCCCTTTGATCTATACGCTGTATGATAATTTCCTATGCCGTTATATTTGATATGAGAAATGTAATGCATTCTTTCAGTTTGCCACTTACATCAGTTTAAGATTTCATTCTATTGAAATGTGAGGTTGAATCTGAATTTGCTACAAAATTAGATTTCTCATTATCTCAACTTATAGTTCGTTCGTAGTTACTATTTACGCAGCAATGCCAAGAGGTAATAGTAGATGAACGGTCTAAAGCCGGATGGTAATAAATTGACTATTAGTGAATTGGATCTTAATATCTATTTTGCACGAATAGTAAACCGAAACACAACGAATCGGCAACAAAAGTGTTCATCATCTATTCACAATTGCTAGCGATTGATGTAGAATAGATCTTTTCCCCTCCAAAGACTACAGAAATTGTAGAATTTGATTGGTAGGAAAAGAATCTTGTGCATTTCTATTGTTCCCAGTATTTTATAATGGATAATAAAGTTTGTACAGATTAATTTTCAAGAGCAAGTTCTGAGATATACACGAACGATATGTTGTAGTAGAATTTACACGTAGACAAGCATGTGGACTGAGTGTTCGAAAAGCTCGTTTCTCTCATTCTCAAGAGCAGCTGAAAGAATTTGAACCAATGCGTCTCTCTAGAACGGCGTGTATCGTTTCAACACTCACTTCGGATAGAATTCATGGTACGTCACCGAGTATACAACCATAGGATATACCTCTTCCCAACATACGAGCGCTGAGCATCTAACTGCACTCAATGTGTCAACTCATCGGTTATTCTCTCATTGAAATGCTCGTTGCGCATTCTGATGGAAAGACATCGAGAGAATGTTTCTCTAAAAACTTATATTATGACGTGTGCTTTTAAAAAAAAGAGATGATTCTATTTTCCAGCACGAAAAGAAGAAAGCTGTAGTCCATTCGTTACACATTTTAGGATTGTTTCGTACGTTAAAATGTGTGGATGATTTGGTGGCAATAAGCAGTTGGCAATTTGAACAGCGCTTTGACAATAGAAGTGAGCTTTTCGATAAACAGCCTTGCTATGATACACCGAAGCGATATTGTCATAGAATGTGGATAACGTAAACATTTTATAAACTAAAGAAAATAAAGTAAGTATTTAGATCAAATTCGATTCTATTACTTCGCTTTTCATGATTAAATCTATTCAAATAAATATTACTGCGTAAAACAATCAATCATTTTAAAAAATGCATATTTATTATGCTGCAACACATTCTTGCTTATATTTCACATACTTCAGTTGATAAAGTACACGTGATTATTCTTTCCATGTCATAATGGTATTTCATCAATAATTTCTTGTTTTTCTTAATGTAAAACAGGCAAATCTTTATCTTTATCTTCTGAAGAGTAAAGATCTTTTGACTTCTTCATTTTGACTTTTTCATGAAGAATTAAGATAGAGAAGATCCATTCTTTATTTTATAAAGTAGGGATAATGTAAAGTCCTTAGTGACGAAGTAAGAGCTGAGATTAACGAATTTTTTATATGATTGTTATTTTTATTTAGGTTAATTTGTTTTCCATTTGATTTGCACTCACCGTTTGAATCCGTAGAATATCTACTACTTTCGAATAACAAATACAGTCTTCATTGATATTCAAATTCATTTGACGTTTCTATTTAATTGAAATTGTTATTGTAATTCATTATGTGCATGTGAAACCTGTAGTAGTAATAGTAGCCGCCCGTTCTTTCAAACTTCCACCCCTCACTCTCTGTCCTTTAATGAGTCGACCATTTCAGAATTTATCACACCAATCTTATATATCCAATTCGTATTATAGATCTTGTCAATCAAATTCAGCATGGTTCACTGTCTATAGTGGAGTACGTTTCCACTGGGAAGGATTTGATAGTGTGGCACCCTTTCTTGTGAGTGAAAAACAATGCGAATATTTTTTAAAAGATATATTTATTTCATGAAGACAAGAACATATATTAATATTCGAACTTAGGAATGAATTATAAATAGGTCTATGTAGTTATGAATTCATCGGTGTTATCTGATTGGTCAATATATCGGCTTGCTGATGATCATATCGACAGAATATTTTACGAAGCAATCGAATAAACTCTTGTCTATATATATTAGCCGAGATAATATACATAAAGAAGGGTGTAGTATACGAGCTGTAAAGAAATAGCTGACAGATTACCCAAGCAATAAAAAAGTCGACCGTAGTTGAAAATGTATTTGGCATAACCGATGCTAAGGAAGCAAAGCCTGCGGGTCCTGTAAGTAAAATGTTAGTGCTCACTTGAAGGATGAGCATACTAGCAAGTTGACTTTCAGTGCGACGATTGCGTGCGCCTGCAGCAGGAGCAACACGCGACTTTTTTATGTTGTAGATGGTCAAAACACCAAATATTGCCATGAGAGCAGGTGCAATAACAACATATACGAAAATTTGTATGAATATATACACTTGTTTGTAGACAGTATCACCTCGAACACGGCATCCTAGTGCGTCAGTCGATCGTAGATCAGTCAGAACCAAAGTGTTGACGTGAAAGAGTGCGATTGAAATAAGGACAAATGAAATCACCCACCGACTTACTTTGACATTGCTAAACATACGTAAACGAGCGCTACTTGAACTAGCACAAAATCGATCGACCGAGGTGACTACAATCATGTACGACGAGGATATTGCAGACGTTTGCGAGAAAAATGAAACCATTTTGCATAAAATAGCAGAAGTTCGGGTCACATCAAGTTGGTATCCATCACTTAAAAGACGGAAAGTAAGAACCACGCTTGCAGAGAAAAGATTCGTGCAAGCAAGTATCAGAAAATAACGAGAGCAAGCATGCTTGAACAGGGCAGGTCTAGTAAGTATAATAATATTGAGTGAATTTCCTAGTGTACCAAAAAATATAATTATTGGTATAATAATTTGTCGTAATACAATGCCAAGTTGTACTAATGAAATAGCCATGGTCTCTCACGCTCGTTTTTCCACTTTCACTTTCTCTTTATATAGTAGCTGATGTGAAACTTTTTACTACGTTCAGGCACGTCATCATTTTAATACTCTTGATCCATTGTCAGTTATTAAATCCGCAGGTGGAAAACACGTAAATTTCATATTTCATAATTACTGAAGGATGAAATGGCAGAGGATGAGCTTGATATAAACTCAAAGAACAAAACTAGAGCAAAAAAACTCTTCATCATTTTGTAAAAAAAAGTTTTTTATGATTAAATGTATTCAAAATCGATAGCATATATTCTACAAAGTACATTCCATCATTCTCAATGATGTTGTGCCAGCGTTCTGACAGTGGTGGTTGTCAATGTTGTTTTCATTCGGTTCATTGTAGCCAAAAAAAACATCGATGCAGCAAGATCTATAGTAGCCCACAGAGGGCAACATATAAAAAGACACAATCACAAGCTTAAGTATCGACGACAACTATAATAAAAGAAAGAGATTTAGTGATGATATTTCAACGATTTTACCGACTATTCCTTATGCTGTTTTTTTTTTATTAATTTGCCAACCGACAGTTTTATATCGGTCAGATTCCACATCGCATGAGTTGTTTTACTTGGGGAAGAAGTTCTGCGGGATAACGGTGCGTTTGACATAGTTGTAGCACGATGAGAAGGTCCTATAATTCGAACTCTAGCGAGTGAAGAGCTACATTTAGACGACATCGTTTGTAGTCAAGTTGTTTCTAATGCGTCTGTATTCATCGTATAAATCACTATTTTTACATGATATTTCGCAAGATTTCATATTTAATGGATTGAGTATGGTTCTTCTTTCGCTAAATTCAATACTCTCCTATACATCGATACATTTCTGCCTGTAATGAAACTTCAACGGTATTTACACAGTATATCATAGATGGCAAGCAACATTGATATTTCCCAATTCTCTTCGTTTCCACCTGCTTTTGCACACAAGGAAGTTTTTATTCATTGCTTCTAGTCAACAAAAAATGAAAGAAACGTGTTCTATATTATTTTTAATCAGAGAATAAACTTGAGTATGGTAAAATGTCTTGATTATGTTAAAGGTGAAAAATAAATGTCATGTACGATTGCAAGACTAATTTTTCATGACTCGTTTCATTTTGTTTGTGTATTGATCTTCGATGGATTGAATGTGTTTGCCAATTTTGTAAATGCAGCAAACAAAGCCAAACCTTGAACTGGTACCATTGTAGCAAAGAATGCTGCAGTCAGAATAGCAATAGGTTGAAGACAGATATCTTCCTATTATTTATGTTACATACACAGATGTACGATGATGATGAATGTTACTTACAAAGTCTTTCGGATACAAAACAGCAACAGTCGATTCAGTGAGGGTGAGGGTGTTTGAATCACTGATCTTGGGAGTTTGTGCAGCAATGGTAGCAGGAGAGCAGTTGGAAGAGTATGCATTTCGACCCCATGACTATCGTTCTCGCACAATAGCATTGATCGAAGTGCCCGATGGAGTGTTCTTGTAAGGACTGTTAGAAAGATGAAGATAGAATGAAACTAACTGAAATGGTGAATATTGACGATGTGATTGTTCCGCCGCGGAAATGGAATGCATCCATCAGACGAAGATGTAGAAAGAGATACGTAAAACGAAATTTATCTATTTACATGGTTCACAAAGTGGCAATGACAAAGAAATAGGAAGGAGCTTTGGCACTGCAAATTGTTTTTATACATTCCTGTTGCTAAGTGAGAAGAAATATTGAAAGAAAAGAAAACTTTTCCGCCTTTTCAATCGAATACTATAACGCAGAAAAACAAAGTGTGACGTTGGTAAAACAAAAACAATTGCAAAAGAGACGAAATACATTAGTATGAGTGTTTACAAATGAAAAGGCGCGTACATAGAGACAGTTTTGTTTTTGTCTTTTGAATTATGTAAATAAGGAAGTAGTTTGTAAAAGCTGCATCCTGGGTAATTAATAAACGCTTCGATAAGAGAGAAAGCGACAACTCATCTTTTCCTACGACGAAACTGCATAGAAGCAATTTTGATGTGAATATTGAAACTAATGTACGTCGGGTTTGTGCTAGGAACAACAGACGGGTCATCCAAAACAGCCATGTAGTCACAGTTTGTAATTAGAGACACCGTTTTCTGATATTCGGTCACAGTTTGTAATTGAAGACACCGTTTTTCTGATATTTGGTCCCAGTCAGATTATCAACATCACTGAATATGGAGAGGAGCTCGTGCTCGATAGTCAATGTCGCGGTCGAGATTTTCTAAAATTTCTCTTGTAAAACCCTTCTGTTTTAATTTGACGAACTGATAGCAAACAAAAGTATAAAAATCTTCAATAAGATCGAAATACGTTGCAAAATTCTAAATTTACTTTATCTTATAAACACCCGAGTCAATCAACTATATTCTCAAGTCATACAATATGCTGGAAGAGAACGTATATAATCTTCGTCACAAAAGATCCAGAACACTCTTTTGTTAACAAATAAGGAAATCCGTCTATTCAACATCACTCATTGGAATCAGTATTCTGAGTGTGCTTATTTTGAGACGACGACTCTCCGACGCCTTGTTTCACTTAATACTGTATAGAAAAACCAAACTTTCGTGCATGCACTCGCATCGAATAAAGCATACTAATTAATTCTAGAGTTACCATCTATGAGGCAAAACATCAATGTTTAGGTGAGTTAAAGAAGGTCGACATAGTATCCCATTCTAAATAGGTTGAGAGGAAAACTGTTTCTTGAATAATTCAATTTACAAAGTATTTCATTCGACGAAAAGCATTGCGACTAACAGATTTTGAATATTAAAGATCAATGAGAGATCTGTGGGTGTCCGAAGTGCTCATTGAGAAGATTCTCGGTTATTTTTGAAATAAATTACTTCTATTCTTGATAGGCTTGAACGTCATTCAAAAAGATCTACGTCTCAAACAGAGCCCACCTTATGATGTATTAAAGGAAGGATTGAGGAATCCAATTATGACGAACTGAACCGACGTTATTTTAATAGTATATTTCTAATGTTCTTAAGAAATGCTTGAAGAAGAACGAATGGAAATATTAATATTATAGTTCATTATAGTCTGTTCTTTCTCCCGCTGCTCTGTTCGATATGATAGTCATCATTAATAAGACAGCTCTTCCTTGTTCTTCTCGACACGCCATATCATATTGTTAGTTGAATATGTTTATTTTTCATGATTTGTATCTCTTTCTCTTTCTGCAACGTCTCATTAGACATTCATCTGATACTTTTTCTTAAAGTCTTTTGACAGACTTTGCACGCTATCAATTCCTCTCCGCTGTAATGTTTCCTGAATTATACATAAAACTTTTCTCATATAATTGACAAATCTTACCTTTTCATATGCGTCAAAAGATCGGTGACGTTCAACTTCAGTTGCAAATTCTTGGAAAGCATACACACAAGTACTTCTTCAGTACATCTGAACATTGCTAACATTTTCGTTAATTCTTACTTCTTACAAGTAATAAGAAAGCTAGTTTTAGATTCTGTTGTATGAACATACTTTATCGAAAATGCCGCATCAACAGCAAAATGTTCGTAGTACGGTCGAAGGAGATGCTACTAAGATTGATCTCTGGACTAGTACTGACATGTCCCGGTTTGATCAAGATGTTCATGTCATTCCCATAGACAGTGTTATGCGACGTTTTCGATCTAACCGCCAAACTGGCTTATCGTCTGCTTTTGTGAGTGAAGCGCAGACGTGCTATGGTAGTAATCAGATCACACCTGCCCCTTCGCCGAATTACTTCCGATTATTATTTAAACAATTATTCATGGGTTTTAATTCAATTCTTCTAGTTGGTGGTATTCTTGCTATAATCGCCTATCAGCCACTTGGAGGATCGGAGTCATCTATTACGAATTTAAGTCTTGGTATCGTGCTTTTATCGGTGACGATTTTCAATGCTTTTCTCAATGTGTATCAAAAGCTCAAGTCGATTAAGATTATCGCTGCGTTTGCAAAACTATTGCCGAAATCTGTTTCCACGCGACGTGATGGTGTAGAACAACACGTTCCGATTATCGAACTTGTTCCTGGTGATATTATCTTAATTAAAATGGGTGATGTCGTGCCAGCTGATTGTCGATTTTTAACTTGCGAAGGACTGAAGGTAAATTTTCTTTTTAAAATGACCTTTAGCGATCTTCTACATAAATGTTTAGCTTAATTCGGCCGAATTAACCGGTGAAACGAAGCCCGTCTCAATCACAGTTGAATGTACTAGTGAAAATTTGATGGAGACAACTAATCTTGGATTCTATTCTTCCCTTGTTGAAGAAGGTATGGGGGAAGCAGTGGTTGTGGCAACAGGAAACAGCACCATTTTGGGTAAAATGTCACGCACAACGCAAGAGGGTTCAAATGAAAGAACCACGAACCTACATCGTGAAGTCAATCGCTTTGTATTGTTTGTTCTCGTCGCCGATGTTATGAGTATTATTATCGTTTGGATTACATGGGGAGGCTGGCTTAACAAGAGTCATCCAACATTCATTACTCGTACTGGAAATATCCTCAATTCCATTGGAATGATCGTAAGTTTCTTACCTATTGGTTTACCATCTGCTATTACGCTCGGTAAGTAACATCTTCACGCGTTGACAGATGATTTTGACTCGGAATGTTTAGCGTTGGCAATTGTGGCTAAACGAATGAGTCAACAGCGAATTTTAGGAAAAAGTTTGCAAATTATTGAAAGTTTCAATTCGGTTTCGATAATTGCTACAGATAAAACAGGCACATTGACAAAGAACAAAATGGTCGTGAGCGAGATCTTCTGGGATACGGACAATGGATGTAAAGTGTTTGACGACGGCGATGAAGAATCACCAACAAGAACATCAATGTCAGACAAAAGTCGTCAAGTATCATTTGGACTCCGTGACAGTTCTCAACGTACGGCGAAAGTATCCCCAGCCATCGAAAGGCCATCGATCAACGGAAATCATCAGGATGAGTACAGTGGAAACCGACAAAGCCGATTCTGCGTCGAAGTTTTCGATGATTTACTACTTGGTGCTGCATTGTGCAACAATGCTAAAGTGCAACTCGTCAGAAATCAATCAAAAGATCGAGATATGATGAAAGCGAATTCGGAATTACACGTTACTGGTGATCCTGTCGATGTTGCACTCTACAATCTATGTGTTTATCAATGTTATATGTACATTGATGAAATACGCTGTGTGAATCCTCGACTAAAAACTTTACCATTCAATTCAGTAAACAAATTCATGATTACGGCGAATCGAATGGAATCACATAATTTATCTTCAACAGATCCTCGGAATACAGTGTTAATTACAATGAAAGGTGCCCCAGAAATAGTTATTCAACGTTGTTCTACATACAAAACAAATGGTGGTCAAATCTTACCATTAACAACGGAAATAAAAGAGAAAATTTTGAATCAACAAGAAATACTAAGTAAGTAAAATGATACGTTTGATAAAAGTATTCAATTCAGGTGCTTTCAGGCAGAGGTGGTTATCGCATTATCGCTATGTGTCAACAAAAATTAACACAGATGCGATATGATCAACTAATGCAGCAACATGATGAGCGACGTCAGTCGAGAGTTGTCGAAGTACATAACTTAAACGGATTTCCTCAAGAAAAATATTGTTTCCTCGGCCTTTTCTCGCTGTTCGATTCTCTTCGATTCGACGCGCCCGATTCGATACTCAGAATCCGAGATGCGCGTATTCGTGTCGCAATGATTACCGGCGATCATCCGGCAACTGCCAGAGCGATTGGCGAGCAAGTCAATATCTTCTCAGCGAATATTGCCAAACGAAACGGAATCGATTCATTTCAAATGCTAGAGAACGAAACCAAACAGTTAGTTTTTCGGTTATATCGAAATGAAACACTCTTTCAAGAACATATCGCCGGAACGATAACGGCACTTCGTTCCTCCAGTACAACTATCCAAAAGCACATTAAACTGGAAAAACAAGTTTGGTATAGACGCTGGTATGCATCGCTCAAAAATCAACTCACTGAGGCAGAACCAATCTTTTACAAAGAAAAGGAAAAAGAAAGAATTCCTTATGCTATTGTGGTAAGATCTGATGATGTTTGACATGTTTGACGTCGTCTGGAATATTTTAGATTGCAGGTAATCAAGTTGATTATCTCGATGATTTTATGTGGAATTGGGTGTTGTCTCATGAAGAATTAATATTCGCTCGTACGTCACCAGAACAGAAATTGCGCATCATCATGGAGTTCCAACGACGCGGGGAAATCGTCGCTGCAATCGGCGATGGAACCAATGATGCACCGTCATTGAAATATGCTGACCTGGGTATTGCTATGCAAACAGGAACGAGTGTTTCGAAAGAAGCGGCTGATTTGATTCTGCTTGACAATCGGTTTTCATCCATCGTATCATCCATCGAAACAGGTCGTCTTCTAGCTGATAATTTGAAAAAAGTCGTCATGTTTCTATTGCCAGCAGGTAAATATTTTTCAAGGTGTAATGTGCAACATATTATTTCTCGATATTCTTCAGGATCTTGGTCCGAACTTTGGCCAATTATGTTTAATATGTGGCTTGGCGTTCCTATATCGCTTTCGACATTTTTAGCAACGATTCTGTGCGTGCTCAATGGTAAGAACTGGTTGGAATGTCTTCAGACAAAAGTTTGAACATTTAGATGCCTCGATATCATTGACTCTGGTGATGGAAAAACCAGAAACGGAGATTCTATCTCGACCACCATCGAATCGAAAAGATGATCATCTCCTCAACTGGCGATTGCTTTTTCATGCTTATATGCTCATCGGCAATCTAGAATGTTTCACGGCATTCTTTTGCTTCTGTTACTATTGGATCGATAATGGTATATCATTCTATTCACTCCTGTTCACTTACGAGTATTTCGGTATCAATCCACCTACGGCGTACAGTCCCGAGAAATTTCTTGAGATGATCAACGTGTCTCAATCGATCTATTATTGTTCGTTATGCGTCTTTCAAGTCTTTAATTACTTTGCCACGCGAACGCGCTATGCCTCTATTTTGCAACACAACCCTTTCTGGGGTAAAAATCGCAACTGGTTCGCATTCGTGGCTATAGCCTTCTCAATAGGTATTGTTTTACTTTTCACCCAAGTCACCCGGTTCAATGAAATATTCGCTACAGCTCCGGTGCCTGCCAAATATATCATGCCAACGCTCGGGTTCGGTGTACTTTGGCTAGTTGTTGATGAACTTCGAAAATTGTACATTCGTAAATATCCACAAAGCATTATTTCCAAGATTGCTTGGTAAACTGTGGGTCATTTCTCTTTTTCTCCGCGTCTTACGAGTGCTCTATACCTCGCTCAATTTAACGTTCTCATCTGATATCCCAAATAAATCTTTTCCCTGAAAAAGCACCGTTTAATCTCGAAACACAAGAAGAAAGTATCCTTGATACTTGCAGGAGAGAATAATTCATTTAGCTTTGGTAAATTTCTGGAAAAATGTGTCTCGATTTCGTGTCCGATTCGATTGTTCACGAATCACACATATTCAGCAGAACTTAAAAGCGGTGTTGCCGACCTTTGGTGAAGTATTGATAAAGATGAGCGGGAGATAACATTTGAATTTCATTTCAATTCGATTGCTGTGGCCAGGATCGATATGCATCTAGTTTTGTTCGACCAATTATTGAATTCCACTGCACGGTAGAGAACTCAACGGTTGAACTGAGATTCAGTTCAAACATTTACTCGGCACATGTGACGCAATGGACTATTCAACAAATGTATTTTCACGGATATTCCTTGATAATTGTGAAAAATCGGATTATTATAGAGTGGAACGAATATTTTGATCTATGCACATGGTCTTTTGACGATATCTAATGTTTGTTCAACAGGTTTCATTTTATGTAAGTATGAGAATTTCATCTATTTTCGTATACCGTTCCATCAAATGACACAACATATCGTTGTAAAATGTATAAAACTTCAGGAATATATTCAGCAAAACGATATGCGGATTGCAGGATGTGAAATAGACAAAGATTTAAGGAATATACTAATTTTTCTTATTGTACTAGTATAAAGTCTTGATTGTGGAGAAAAATTTTGATATTGTTCATCATTTACTTCTACACGAATGTAGTCATCTGCTCAATTTGATGACAATAACCTTTCAGATGGACACTGAACGATGCGATTGCACCTTGTACAACGAGAATTGCAACTGATCGGGCAGTTGATGGCGACTATGCAAGAGCTTTATTCGGATAAGATCAGAGATAAACGTTTCCATTTTAGACTGTTGAGTTTCACGAAGAAGCGGGATATCCAGCTGATAGTCATTCTCAAAATAAATATTCCGTGGTTCAAATGCATGACGACAATCCCAAAGGACATTTGAGCAGATAAGAAAAGCTTAAATAATACAAAAAAACTAGTTTAATTTTAACTCAGATCGTCGTGGTAGTGCGAGTATACGATTCTATCTTAGTAAGCGGGTTTGACAACACGATCTTGGCTATATAATATTCGGAACTGTTTCAAAGTTTCTTGGACTTATCATTCCACCTAAAGTTGGGAATTAACGTCATCGAATCCTACTGTCCAAGTACGACCACGTAGGTATTGTTATAAATTCGCACTTTCTTTCTACAGAGTATTCTCAAATCCAGTGTTACACTCGTATCTGTATTTCCGTATACTCATAAAAGTCAATTATCGGAGTTGGTGAAGATACGAGAAAGATTTTTGAGTAGGTTATAGCATGTGGACGAAATTGATTCGGAATAAAAGAGCTGTGGATTATCTGTTCAAAGCTGAATCTTGTAATTTCAATTATCAATTTGAAAATCGTTCACCGAAAAGAATCCAGATTTATCCGGTGAGAGTTGGTGGGTGTATTTTGAATGATGTTCCTGGTTTGCTTGAAATGGGGACGATTTTCGACAAGATATGTTTATAATACAATGAATAAAGACATTGTAATATTGGTAGGAATGTGTTTTGNATGAGAACTGATCACAAATACATCCTCTCGAGAGACTTTTAAGTAGAAATTTGTGAAAATAGTAAGTCTTTTTAGATTGAACAACATCAACGAAGAGTTAAACCAATCTTTCTTACACTATTTTCTTGTAATACAAGAATAATTGCTAATAATACATACAATGGTCTATTCAGTTTCAGTCTGAATTAGAAAAAAGTGTTAATTAAAACTGAAATAAGAAAACTAGACGACTTAAAAAATCATTCATTCTCATTGTTAATCATTAGCTGTCTACTGTGAGTTCGAATATGAATTCGAAGTATGTCCTGCTAAAACGATGTCTTTGTTAAAAATTGATTTTATATAAAGGTTAATTTTTCGAAATCTCTATTAATATTCGAGCTCAAATTAAAAATCTACTCATTCGTATATTTACTCGTGATAGTTAATAGTTGGACTCGAATAAGAACAATTTTGTTTATTGTGCTCATATATGTGTCGTATTCATTGCATCAGTGATATTAAGAGCTAATGAGAGGCAGCCTCAGAAAAGAAAGATTTTGTATATGTTTATATGAATTATTAAGAAAATACACATTGTTTAAATTAAATTCTCTATCAAATACTTGAATTTTTACTATTGTATAAGAGTGTTTACGCATCGTATTTGTACAATGTCTTTGGATTAAGAATTCGAGTACAATTGCAACATCAAAGAAACGTGATAGGTTTATTTCATCATTAGCTGAAATCAGAATTTTACGAATTGTTCAACAAATATAATCGTAGTTTCAAATAAATCTTTAAATTGAATCTCCATTATTAACATTATTTCGAACGCGTAAAACAAAAGAAGTTTTCTTAAGATGAACTTTAATGTAAAAATGTAAGTCTATGGAAATCAATAAGTATCAACTTGATTCGTTGTGTTCAGTTGTTAGCCAAATAGCCGAGAAAAGAACAACAAGTGATAATATGTGACGGTACAGCAGCTATCGTTACAACAAAATGTGGTTCTATTATTGAGAATATTTTCATCTATAGCAGATGCAACATTTTGTTTTCTATATTTGAAGGTTGGAAACTTTATTTCACATTATCATTCGTTTGTTTATCCAACGTAGATAAAAGTAAGTAGAATGAACAAAGAGTAAGGTTGGTAAAATGTATATGTTGCATGTAGTATGATGGTCTAATATTTTAAAAATAACCTTTTTGCAAAACTTTTCTAAAATGTATTAAAGACTTCTAAACAGATACTAGTCGATTCGCTTATTTTTCTTTTCTCTGTTTTCTTCGCAAACTCCAAAAAGTTCTTTCTTCTCACATAGTGATATTGCGCATCGATTATTTTATTGAAACATATACTGTTTCCATATTTTCTTGATCGATCGATATTTTTGTACATTATATTAATTTACTGGCTAGGAAATATATTTGATTGTACATACCGAGATCGATTTTAGAAATGTTTTGTGTTGCAGTAACTATGTTGAATATCGAGATGCTAATTGTCTGCGTGAAGGTTGAAAAAACATTATTTAGCGTTTTGACCGTACGGTGGATTCTGTTGTCAGGTTTCTTTCGTTCGGTGCTCGAAGGATAAGGAAAAAACATGAGCTCGCAGCAATAAACGCTGCATAAATTAGAAACTTTTTCATTATGTTATACCTGATTTGCTGAAAAACTACATTATTTTTGGTTTTCAGAAAAATGTACTAATGAAGCGTGACAGCATGCGACAGAATCCGTTGTATGGTAAAATTGCTAAACACTGCTATTTTTCTGCCTTCACGACGGTAGCTAAAGCCTCGGTAGTCAAGTTATTCAACGTATGATCACTGAATGATAGAACGCTTTTAAACTCGATCTCAGCGCACGCGTTCAAATGTCTCTTTATGGATAGGGCAGCCTTTAAGACCACTATGACTACGTCCCTTTGATCTATACGCTGTATGATCATTTCCTATGCCGTTATATTTGGTATGAGAAATGTAATGCATTCTTTCAGTTTGCCATTTAAATCAGTTTAAGATTTCATTCTATTGAAATGTGAGGTTGAATCTGAATTTGCTACAAAATTAGATTCGTCATAATTTCAACTTATAGTTCGTTCGTATTTACTATTTACAGTAATGCCAACAGGTGATAGTAGGTGAACGGTCTAAAGGCTGATGGTAATAAATTGACTATTAGTAAATTGGATCTTAATATCTATTTTGCACGAATAGCAAACCAAAACACAACGAATCGGCAACGAAAGTGTTCATCATCTATTCACAATTGCTAACGATTGATGTAGAATAGTTCTTTTCCCTTCCAAAGATTACAGAAATTGTAGAATTTGACTGGTAGGAAAAGAATCTTGGTGCATTTCTATTGTCCCCAGTATTTTATAATGAATAATGAAGTTTGTACATATTACTTTTCAAGAGCAAGTTCTGAGATATTTACGAACGATATGTTGTAGTAGAATTCACTCGTAGACAAGCATGTGGACTGAGTGTTTGAAAAGCTCGTTTCTCTCATTCTCAAGAGCAGCTGTAAGAATTTGAACAGATTCGTCTCCGTAGAACAGCCTGTATGGTTTCAACACTCACTTCGGATAGAATTCATGGTACGTCACCGAGTATACAACCATAGGATATACCTCTTCCCAACATACGAGCGCTGAGCATCTAACTGCACTCAATGTGTCAACTCATCGGTTATTCTCTTATTGAAATGCTCGTTGCGCATTCTGATGGAAAGACATTAACAGAATGTTTCTCACAAGACTTATGTCGTGNTCACTTCGGATAGAATTCATGGTACGTCACCGAGTATACAACCATAGGATATACCTCTTCCCAACATACGAGCGCTGAGCATCTAACTGCACTCAATGTGTCAACTCATCGGTTATTCTCTTATTGAAATGCTCGTTGCGCATTCTGATGGAAAGACATTAACAGAATGTTTCTCACAAGACTTATGTCGTGACGTGTGCTTTTGAAAAACGAGATGATTCTATTTTCCAGCACGAAAAGAAGAAAGCTGTAGTCCATTCGTTACACATTTTAGGTTTGTTTCTTACGTTAAAATGTGTGGATGATTTGGTGGCAATAAGCATTTGGCAATTTGAACAGCGCGTTGACAATAGAAGTGCGCTTTTCGATAAACAGCCTTGCTATGATACACCGAAGCGATGTTGTCATAGAATGTGGATAACGTAAACATTTTATAAACTAAAGAAAATAAAGTAAGTATTTAGATCAAATTCGATTCTACTACTTCACTTTTCATGATTAAATCTATTCAAATAAATAGTACTGCGTAAAACAATCAATCATTTAAAAAATGCATATTTATTATGCTGTAATACATTCTTGCTTATATTTCACATACTTCGGTTGATAAAGTACACATGATTATTCTTTCGATGTCATAATGATATTTCATCAATAATTTCTTGTTTTTCTTAAATTAAAACAGACAAATCTTTATCTTTATTTTCTGAAGAGTAAAATCTTTTGACTTTTCCATGAAGAATTAAGATAGAGAAGATCCATTCTTTATTTTATAAAGTAGAGATAATGTAAAGTCCTTAGTGGGAAAGTAAGAGCTGAGATTAGCGAATTAATTTATATGATTGTTATTTAGGTTAATTTGTTTTCCATTTGATTTGCACTCACCGTTTGAATCCGTAGAATATCTACTGCTTTCGAATAACAAATACAGTCTTCATTGATATTCAAAGTCATTTGACGTTTCTATTTAATTGAAATTGTTATTGTAATTCAATTATGTGCATGTGAAACCTGTAGTAGTAGTAGCCGTCCGTTCTTTCAAACTTCCACCCCTCACTCTCTGTCCTTTAATGAGTCGACCATTTCAGAATTTATCACACCAATCTTATATATCCAATTCGTATTATAGATCTTGTCATTCAAATTCAGCATGGTTCACTGTCTATAGTGGAGTACGTTTCCACTGGGAAGGATTTGATAGTGTGGCACCCTTTCTTGTGAGTGAAAAACAATGCGAATATTTTTTAAAAGATATATTTATTTCATGAAGACAAGAACATATATTAATATTCGAACTTAGGAATGAATTATAAATAGGTCTATGTAGTTATGAATTCATCGGTGTTATCTGATTGGTCAATATATCGGCTTGCTGATGATCATATCGACAGAATATTTTACGAAGCAATCGAATAAACTCTTGTCTATATATATTAGCCGAGATAATATACATAAAGAAGGGTGTAGTATACGAGCTGTAAAGAAATAGCTGACAGATTACCCAAGCAATAAAAAAGTCGACCGTAGTTGAAAATGTATTTGGCATAACCGATGCTAAGGAAGCAAAGCCTGCGGGTCCTGTAAGTAAAATGTTAGTGCTCACTTGAAGGATGAGCATACTAGCAAGTTGACTTTCAGTGCGACGATTGCGTGCGCCTGCAGCAGGAGCAACACGCGACTTTTTTATGTTGTAGATGGTCAAAACACCAAATATTGCCATGAGAGCAGGTGCAATAACAACATATACGAAAATTTGTATGAATATATACACTTGTTTGTAGACAGTATCACCTCGAACACGGCATCCTAGTGCGTCAGTCGATCGTAGATCAGTCAGAACCAAAGTGTTGACGTGAAAGAGTGCGATTGAAATAAGGACAAATGAAATCACCCACCGACTTACTTTGACATTGCTAAACATACGTAAACGAGCGCTACTTGAACTAGCACAAAATCGATCGACCGAGGTGACTACAATCATGTACGACGAGGATATTGCAGACGTTTGCGAGAAAAATGAAACCATTTTGCATAAAATAGCAGAAGTTCGGGTCACATCAAGTTGGTATCCATCACTTAAAAGACGGAAAGTAAGAACCACGCTTGCAGAGAAAAGATTCGTGCAAGCAAGTATCAGAAAATAACGAGAGCAAGCATGCTTGAACAGGGCAGGTCTAGTAAGTATAATAATATTGAGTGAATTTCCTAGTGTACCAAAAAATATAATTATTGGTATAATAATTTGTCGTAATACAATGCCAAGTTGTACTAATGAAATAGCCATGATCTCTCACGCTCGTTTTTCCACTTTCACTTTCTCTTTATATAGTAGCTGATGTGAAACATTTTACTACGTTCATATACGTCACCATTTTAATACTCTTGATCCATTGTCAGTTATTAAATCCGCAGGTGGAAAACACGTAAATTTCATATTTCATAATTACTGAAGGGTGAGATGGTGGAGGATGAGCTTGACATAAACTCAGAGAACAAAACTGGAGCAAAAGAACTCTCCATCATTTGCAAAAAAAAAGTTTTTATGATTAAATGTATTCAAAATCGATAGTATATATTCTACAAATTACATTCCATCATGCTCAATGATGTTGCGCCAGCGTTCTGACAGTAGTGGATGTCAATGTTGTTTTCATTCGGTTCATTGTAGCCAAAAAAAAACATCGATGCAGCAAGATCTACAGTAGTTCACAAAAGGCAACATATAAAAAGACACAATCACAAGCTTAAGTATCGACGACAACTATAGTAAAAGAAGAAACTTTAGTGATGATACTTGAGCGATTTTACTGACTATTTCTTATGTTGTTTTTTTTTATTAATTTGTCAACCGACAGTTTTATATCGGTCAGATTCCACATCGCGTGAGTTGTTTTACTTGGTGAAGAAGTTCTGCGGGATAACGGTGCGTTTGACCGAGTTGTAGTACGATGAGAAGGTCCTACAATTCGAAATCCAGCGAGTGAAGAGCTATATTTAGACGACATCGTTTGTAGTCAAGTTGTTTCTAATGCATCTGTATTCATCGTATAAATCACTATTTTTACATAATATTTCGCAAGATTTCATATTTAATGGATTGAGTATTGTTCTTTCACTAAATTCAAGACTCTCCTATACATCGATACATATCTGCCTGTAATGAAACTTCAACGGTATTTATACAGTATATCATAGATGGCAAACAACATTGATATTTTCTAATTCTCTTCGTTTTCACCTGCTTTTGCGCACAAGGAAGTTTTTTATTCATTGCTTCTAGTCAAGAAAAAATGAAAGAAACGTGTTCTATATTATTTCTAATTAGAGAATAAATTTGAGTATGGTAAAATGTCTTGATTATGTTAAAGATGAAAAATAAATGTCATGTACGACAGTAAGACTATTTTTGCATGACTCGTTTCATTTTGTTTGTGCCTCCCATGTCGTTCAATTTTTTATCGTAACGCCGCTATATCGCCAAAACGGCATATTGCGCCGCTATTGAGCACGATATTGGCGTTAATCATCGTGATATATGTAAACGATCCGTGCGTCGCAATCACGCNAACAGTCGATTCAGTGAGGGTGAGGGTGTGAGGGTGTGGGTGGGGTGAGGATGTTTGAATCACTGATCTTGGAAGTTTGTGCAGCAATGGTAGCAGGAGAGCAGTTGGAAGAGTATGCATTTCGACCCCATGACTATCGTTCTCGCACAATAGCATTGATCGAAGTGCCCGATGGAGTGTTCTTGTAAGGACTGTTAGAAAGATGAAGATAGAACGAAACTAACTGAAATGGTGAATATTGACGATGTGATTGTTCCACCGCGGAAATGGAATGCATCCATCAGACGAAGATGTAGAAAGAGATACGTAAAACGAAATTTATCTATTTACATGGTTCACAAAGTGGCGATGACAAAAATAAATAGAAAGGAGCTCTGGCACTGCAAATTGTTTTTATACACTCCTGCTGCTAAGTGAGAAGAAATATTGAAAGAAAATAAAACTTTTCCGCCTTCTCAAACGAATACTATAACAGAGAAAAGCAAAGTATGACGTTGGTCAAACAAAAAAATTGCAAAAGAGACGACATACATTAGTACGAGTGTTTACAAATGAAAAGGCGCGTACATAAAGACAGTTTTGTTTTTGTCTTTTGAATTATGTAAATAAGGAAGTAATTTGTAAAAGCTGCATCCTGAGTAATTAATAAACACTTCGACAAGAGAGAAAGCGACAACTCATCTTTTCCTACGACGAAACTGCATAGAAACAATTTTGATGTGAATATTGAAACTAATGTACGTCGGGTTCGTGCTAGGAACAACAAACGGGTCATCCAAAATAGTCGTGTAATCACAGTTTGTAATTAAAGACACCGTCTTTTGATATTCGGCCACAGTGTGTAATTAAAGACACCGTTTTCTGATATTCGGCCACAGTTTGTAATTAAAGACACCGTTTTCCTGATATTCCGTCCCAGTCAGATTATCAACATCACTGAATATGGAGAGGAGTTTGCGCTCGATAGTCAATGTCGCGGTCGAGATTTTCTAAAATTTCTCTTGTAAAACCCTTCTGTTTTAATTTGACGAACTGATAGCAAATAAAAGTATAAAAATCTTCAATAAGATCGAAATACGTTGCAAAATTCTAAATTTACTTTATTTCATAAACATCCAAGGCAATCAACTATATTATCAAGTCATACAATATGTTGGAAGAGAACGTATATAATCTTCGTCACAAAAGATCCAGAACTCTCTTTTGTTAGCAAATAAGAAAATCCGTCTATTCAACGTTACTCATTGGAATCAGTATTCTGAGTGTGCTTATTGTGAAGCGATGAATCTCCGACGCCTTGTTTCACTTAATACTGTATAGAAAAGGCAAACTTTCGTGCATGCACTCGCATCGAATAAAGCATACTAATTAATTCTACAGTTACCATCTATGAGGGAAAACATCGATTTTTAGGTGAGTTAAAGAAGGTCGACATAGTATCCCATTCTAAATAGGTTGAGAGGAAAACTGTTTCTTGAATAATTCAATTTACAAAGTATTTCATTCGANGGGGTGAAGCGCAGACGGGCTATGGTAGTAATCAGATCACACCTGCCCCTTCGCCGAATTACTTCCGATTATTATTCAAACAATTATTCATGGGTTTTAATTCAATTCTTCTAGTTGGTGGTATTCTTGCTCTGATCGCTTATCAGCCACTTGGAGGATCAGAGTCATCTATTACGAATTTAGGTCTTGGCATCGTGCTTTTATCGGTGACGGTTTTCAATGCTTTTCTCAATGTGTATCAAAAGCTCAAGTCGATTAAGATTATCGCTGCGTTCGCAAAACTATTGCCGAAATCTGTTCCCACTCGGCGTGATGGTGTAGAACAACACATTCCGACTATCGAGCTCGTTCCTGGTGATATTATCTTAATTAAAATGGGTGATATCGTGCCAGCTGATTGTCGAGTTTTAACTTGCGAAGGACTGAAGGTAAATTTTCTTTTTAAAATGACCTTTAGCGATCTTCTACATAAATGTTTAGCTTAATTCGGCCGAATTAACCGGCGAAACAAAGCCCGTCTCAATCACAGTTGAATGTACTAGTGAAAATTTGATGGAGACAACTAATCTTGGATTCTATTCTTCCCTTGTTGAAGAAGGTATGGGGGAAGCAGTGGTTGTGGCAACAGGAAACAGCACCATTTTGGGTAAAATGTCACGCACAACGCAAGAGAGTTCAAATGAAAGAACCACGAACCTACATCGTGAAGTCAATCGCTTTGTATTGTTTGTTCTCGTCGCCGATATCACAAGTATTATTATCCTTTGGATTACATGGGGAGGCTGGCTTAATAATAGCCATCCAACATTCATTACTCTTATTGGAAATATCCTCAATTCCATTGGAATGATCGTAAGTTTCTTACCTGTTGGTTTACCATCTGCTATTACGCTCGGTAAGTAACATCTTCACGCGGTGACAGTTGATTTTTACTCGGAATATTTAGCATTGGCAATCGTGACTAAACGAATGAGTCAACAGCGAATCTTAGGGAAAAGTTTGCAAATTGTTGAAAGTTTCAATTCGGTTTCGATAATTGCCACAGATAAAACAGGCACATTGACAAAGAACAAAATGGTCGTGAGCGAAATCTTCTGGGATACGGACAATGGATGTAAAGTGTTTGACGACGGCGATGAANGAAGTATTGATAAAGATGAGCGGGAGATAACATTTGAATTTCATTTCAATTCGATTGCTGTGGCCAGGATCAATATGCATCTAGTTTTGTTCGACCAATGATTGAATACCACTGCAAGGTAGAGAACTCAACGGTTGAACTGCGATTCAATTCAAACATTTACTCGACACGTGTGACGCAATGGACTATTCAACAAATGTATGTTCACGGATATTCCTTGATAATTATGAAAAATCGGATTATTATAGAGTGGAACGAATATTTTGATCTATGCACATGGTCTTTTGACGATATCTAACGTTTGTTCAACAAGTTTCATTCTATGTAAGTATGAGAATTTCATCTATTTTCGTATACCGTTCCATCAAATGACACAACATATCGTTGTAAAATGTATAAAACTTCAGGAATATATTCAGCAAAACGACATGCGGATTGCAGGATGTGAAATCGACGAAGATTTAAGGAATATACTAGTTTTTCTTATTGTGTTAGTATAAAGTCTTGATTGTGGAGAAAAATTTTGATATTGTTCATCATTTACTTCTACACGAATGTAGTCATCTGTTTAATTTGATGACAATAACCTTTCAGATGGACACTGAACGATGCGATTACACCTTGTACAACGAGAATTGCAACTGATCGGGCAGTTGATGGCGACTATGCAAGAGCTTTATTCCGATAAGATGAGAGATAAACGTTTGCATTTTAGACTGTTGCGTTTCACGAAGAAGCTGGGTATCCAGCTGATAGTCATTCTCAAAATAAATATTCTGTGGTTCAAATGCATGACGACAATCCCAAAGGACATTTGAGTCGATAAGAAAAGCTTAAATAATACAAAAAAAAACTAGTTTAATTTTAATTCAGATCATCGTGGTAGTGCGAGTATACGATTCTATCTTAGTGAGCGGGTTTGACAACACGACCTTGGCTATATAATATTCGGAACTGTTTCAAAGTTTCTTGGACTTATCATTCCACCTAAAGTTGGGAATTAACGTCATCGACTCCTACTGTTCAAGTACGACCACGTAGGTATTGTTATAAATTCGCACTTTCTTTCTACAGAGTATTCTCAAATCCGGTGTTACACTCGTATCGGTATTTCCGTATACTCATAAAAGTCAATTATCGGATTTGGTGAAGATACGAGAAAGATTTTTGAGTAGGTTATAGCATGTGGACGAAATGTATTCGAAATAAAAGAGCTGTGGATTATCTGTTCAAAGCTGAATCTTGTAATTTCAATTATCAATTTGAAAATCGTTCACCGAAAAGAATCCAGATTTATCCGGTGAGAGTTGGTGGGTGTATTTTGAATGATCTTCTTGGTTTGCTTGAGAGGGGGACGATTTTTCGACAAGATATTTTTATAATACAATGAATAAAGACATTGTAATATTGGTAGGAATGTGTTTTGAAGTTTGAAAAGATGAGACGCGTTGTTCTATGTACGGCTCTGTTTGCAAGAAATGAGGAATGGTTAGCTGAGGGACTCGATCCATCAGTAACATACAAAGATTGAGATCACGTCGTTTGTCAAAAGACAATTATAAACATTGCTTTCTTTCGTGATCAAAAATCATTTTATTTTTTTGTTTCTTTATTAATTCTTCAACTTAGAATAAATATATAATTTTCAGTATTCACGGTCTCATTTGCGGTCCTCACTTGAGTTCACAACGAGCTGTGCATATAGCATTGCCATACCGTTGTCTCCCATTAAACGATAGATATCATGCAGATGTGAGTAAACATTGATCCGTATCAACTGATTCTCAAACGAGTTGTTGGAGTCGGTTTCCAGAGCTTTTTGGAAAAATGACAGTGCAGCGGAGTAGTTTTTCATACACTTATATAACACAGCCAGATTACTGTAAGGTTTGAGGATTTTTGGATGCTTCGCAGGAAAGATTTTCTCTCGAATTTCCAATGATTTTTGAAAAAACGATAATGAAGTTGAGTATTCGGCAAGAGCCATGTGTAGAATACCAAGACCACTATAAGTGACACTTAGCTCATAGTCATCCGGAGGAGTAAATTTCTCCTCTAGCTCCAATGTCTTCTGATAAAAGGCGCGGGCATTCGAATAATCTTTATTCTTAGTACACGCAAGCCCCATATTTTTGTATACGATAGCAACACTACGGTAAGCCTGCTGATATGATTTCTCATTCATTTCGAAAGTTGTTTGAGAAGACTGCTGTGCATTAGAATTCTCTTTTGTAACAAGTTGCTTTCGTCCAACATGTACGCAAATACCGTCGTGATCAAGGTGATCAGGTGGCAGGTTTTTCTTCCTGATATCCAACTCTTTTCTATAGAACATCAGTGCATCCGTATAATTTTCCATTTTTTGATATGTATTACCCATTTGATTGTAAACATTAGCAAGGTCATCATTGTTAGATTGAGGGATTCTTTGAAGAATTTCGATAGTTTTCATTAAGAATAGTTGTGCGTTAGAATAATCGCCTTTTTCTATATACGCACAAGCCATAGATCGATAGATTAGAGCCATACTAGGATGAAGAGGATGTAGACATTTTTGTCGTATGGCAAGTGCCTTTTTGAAATATGAAATTGCTTCATCAACTTCTCCTACGCGTAGCTTGCACCCACCCATATTATTGTAGGCCCCGGCCATGTCAGTATGATCTGGAGGAAGGCACTGCTGTTGAATAGTCAATGCTTTTTGATAATAAGACAACGCAGTCGAATAGTTCCGTAAACCTTGATGAGCGAATCCGATATTGTTTAAAATAGCAGCTAAAAGATGATGATGTGGGGATAGAGTTTGTTTTAGTATATCCAAGGCTTTTTCAGAATGAGAAAGTGCGTTGAAATGATCCCCCATCGAATTATATACAGCACCTATGGACAAATATGTACCACCCAAGCTAGGATGAGACGGACCAAATGCTTTTTGGTTGATTTCGATCGCCTTTCTAAGGAGTGCCAGTGCACTGGAGTTATCATTCATGCATCGGTATACTACAGCAATATTATTGTAAATTGTTGCCAGTGCTGGATGATCTGATGGAAGCGTTTTTTCTCGAATCTGCAAAGCTTTTTGAAAATACGAAACTGCTATTGAATAGTTTCCAAGTATTCTATGAACGTCACCGATAGAGTTGTAGATATTACTCAGCACAGGATAATTTTCAGGCAGATTACTCTTACCGATTTCCAGTGCTTTTTCAAGAAATGACAGCGCATTTAAATATTCACCGATATTCGTATACAAAATACCCATGTTGAGATACAACGAATATATCCCAAGAGAAGCAGAAATGGGACGTTTCTCGAAAACGTTAAGCGCTTCCCGATAGAATGCTAGTGCACATTGATAATCTCCCATGTTTGCGTGTGCCAAAGCCAAGTTTCCTAACAACGAAGACGTACTTGTACAATCCGACCCATAAACTTCCTTGATCAATTCCAGTGCTTTTTCGAAAAATAAGATTGCATTTCTATAGTCGCCTTTATGCAGTTTGACAGTACCAAGGCCATCGTACACAGCAACTTGTTCTCTACCATTTTCCAAATTTGACTTATACAACATTTCATAGATCTCTTCAGCCTTGTCAAATTTGCCAATTCTTACCATGAAGTCAGGTAAACGCGCCCACTGAAATCTTTGTAGGTCCTCTGCTCGCAAGTGTTGCTTGAGAAGTCGCAATTGTTGATCTTCTTCGTTCGTTAGCAACAATGTCACTTGCATAACTCCATTT